GTGTTGGTGTCCACATGCCAGCCCATCTTTCTGACTCACTGGGCTCAGCAGTAGACAGATGCTACCTCATTCACTCCTCACAACCATTCACCCAGGTAGATAGCTGCTTCTCTCTCTTCTGCAGCTGGGGAAACGGAGGCAGAGAAGTAAAGTGGCTTGGTGGGGGCCACATAGAGCATCAAGGGCTGAGGTTTATGAGCCTGAGTCTAGGTAGAGGCGGGGACAGTGATATCGGGGTGGCAGTGGGGGAGAGCGAGAAGGGCCGCCGATGAGAGAGAGGAGCTAGCCCCTGGGAGGGGAAGGCAGCTGGTGGGGTTGCAGCTGAGGGTGTCACACTGGGGCAGGGGTGTTGAGATGGTATCTGAGCTCGATGGAGAGGTGGCTGTGGAGATAGCGCAGTGGGGGAAGGGCTCCCACCCAGCTGCCCTTGTTAAGCTGGAACAGGAAGTGTGGGTGGAGGAGGAGGGCTTCCTCTCCCTGCTGATACATCCAGGGCTGTCATCTGCCTTCTTCTCCCAGGCGACCCCGGGGGACCCGCGGGAAATGGAGACCTGTGAGGAGGAGGTGATAATAACCAGATAATAACCATCTAACATAACGGCCTCAGTGTGCGGCAGCCTAGGGCCCCCAGCGGGGAGCCAGGGACAAGGTGGGTAGCCCTGAGATAAGTGGCAGGAAGGGGTACGGCCCCGGGTGTCGGGTGTCGCTTGCCAGCTGTGCTATCTGTTGGGGAAGGGTGAAGCAAGCCAGTGTGCCAAATCACACAAACAGAGCCCCCCGCCCTAGGACACTGGGGATCCATCTTGAAGTTAGCAGATAGGGAAGCGCCCTTTGGGGGCCCAGCCACACACGAAGTGTTCAAATTTCACCCCGAGAGCCACAGAGGGAAGGAGGGAGGGAGGGAGGGAGGTCTCCTCAGGCCTTCTCTGAGACCGGGGTGGGTCTAAGGTGAAGCTGGGTGACCGGGGGAAGTTGGCCTTTGAACCTAGAGTTGGGAGGGTCTGATGCCACCCCCCCATGTGACCTTCATCATCACCGTCCTACCACGTCCCCACCGTGGGGACCCCGACAGTGTCACCAACAGTGCAGTGCTGCTTCCTGCAGTGTCTCTCCCCTCCTCCCAGGACTTCTTCGGGCGTCACTCCCATTGTCACCCCCTGCCACGTTTGCTGGCATCTTGCCCACCAGCCACCCTGCTGCCCCCGACCACCTCCGTCACAGCCACATCAGCTCCAGCAGCACCATGCAGCCTCTCCCCTCCAGCAAGCTTGCCGGTCCCCCTGCCCAGCGCTCCCCTCCATGTATCAGCCTGACTGTCCCCCTGGCCACGCTCAGTGTCACCCCGGCCCATCATCGCCATCTTCTTCATCCCTTCTGTGTGACCCTGCCCTTTTCAGTCCAAGCTGCAGGGTGCTTCTCAGAGCCACCAGCAAAGAAACCACATCTCCTGTCCCCTCGGTCACTTCCTTCCCTGCTCAGCTTGGGGAAGCAGAACGGGGAATTGAGACCAAGGAGGAGTAGAGGAATGGGTGAAAAAGGGGAACGGAGAGCAGAGTGGTGAGGGCCGCGCTGAGCAGGGCTGGGTGGCCAGCGTGGAGCTAGGAATGAGGGCTGAGCTGATTCTGATGGTGCACGTCTTGCTGTGTGACTGGGTGCCCTGTCTTTCTCTCTGGCCCTCACTTCCCCGCTGGTAACATCCCCTCTCTCAGGGAAGAGACAGCTTCCCCTAGATGATACAGCATATCTGCAGAGTCAAGGCCCTGGGCCTTTGCACATGATGTTGCCACTTAATGCTCTTTCTTCTGTTGGAAAGCTCTCACTTAGAGTATGCTCTGTTCTCTCTTGGCTTCCCCTGGAGACTGACGCCTGCAGGCCAGAGTCGGTGCTAATCTAGACAGGGAGGCAGTAGGTGCTCAGTGTGTTTCTGGGGGTGAGGGAGGCTGCTGCTCTGAAGTGCTGGAGGACAGCACCTGCCCTGCCCTTTCACTTCCCACAGAGGTGGGTCCAAGCCAGGTCCAGTGATCACCCCCAGTTCCTGGGTGAGGAGTCTGAGGCCCAGAGAAGTTAGCAGCTGACTGGGGAGCACAGAGCTTGGTTTGGGCCTGGGGCTCTAAGGTGCTGTGTAGGCTGTGGAGGGTGAAGGAGCATAGGTGAGCTCATGGTGGAGGGGACCTCTGGGTGGCAGAGGTGGACTGGACATCGTGGAGGAAGGAGGCCTGGTCCCCATGGCTGGACGGCCTGGGAACCCAGACTTCTGGCTCTCCGGGTCTGCTTGGGGACTTGCAAGAGCCATGCTGCCTTCTCATGGGGAGGGCACAACTTGGTGGCTGCGTGAGTGGGAGGCCCTGGCAGCCTGCGTGTGATGTCCCGTAGCTTGTAGGAGTTCCAGCCTCATGGCTTCCTTTGTTCAGTGGCCCCAGGTGCAGACGGTGGTGAGACCTTGTCCAGGGAAGCCCAGGCCAGGGTCACGCAGCAGCAACAGGGCAGTGGGCGGCTTTCTGCCCCAGCTGCTGTTCCTGGAGCTCCAGGTGTCCAGGGTAGGGGTGGCTATCCTGGGGAGGGGTCAGGTGGCTGTGAGGTCAGGAGCTGCCCCCAGGGCCTCTGGCCCAGCCCCAAGGGGATCCCTGGCTGGGGAGCAGAGGTAGCAGGGTCCTTATCCTGACAGCCACAAGACACAGGGAGTAGCTAGCTCAGCCTCGCCCTTGGCCTGGTGCACAGAAGTGGGCTTCTCTCCACTCCCTCTCAGGCACTGGGGGCGAAGGAGCTCAGCCTCTCCTTTGCCTGGGGCAGGTACTGGCAGGCTCTGAGGTCACCTTGCTTGTGGCCTTGGGCTGGTCGTTGCTCACCTGGCAAGTGGGGACGTGTCTCGCCTGTACCCGGCCTGTCCAAGGCTATTGAGAAGGGGAAGTGAGGTGGCCGGAGGCGGGGAAAGGGCACTGTGCTTAGGCTGCTGGGGGAGGAAGTTGGCATCTGTCTGACTCACCATGGGAGTAGGGTGGTGCAGGCCTTGGGAGGCCCAGGAGCAGGGGCTGCTGGGCAGGCAGGGGAGGGACAGAGACCCTGGTTTGAGTGTGAATGCTGGTCCTGGGGAGGACCGGCTGGCAGGCGGGGGCAGGTCCCTGGACCTCTCCCAGCCTTGCTCCCTCCCCTCGGCAGTAGGAGCAGGAATATAATGCATAGTCCCTGGCTGGTTTGGGCCCAGGGCCTTGGCATGAAGTTAGGCTGTGCCAAACCCTTTCCAGCCCCCTCCCAGGTCACCAGCCAGAGGATCTTACAAAACAAGTGGTTGGAGGCCCCTTCTAGAACTGGAAGTTGGGGTTGTCTGATTCTGAGCTTTGTTTCCTATCTCAGACAGTCCTGGATTCTTGGGACTTCAAAAGCCTCCTCCTGTTGAGCCTGGTAGACACTCATGTGCCCTTTCTAAGCCCAGGGGCAACTACTCTGTGCTCTGCTTCCATACCCCCAGTGATGGGGAGCTAACCACCTTGCAGGGCACCGGCTTCTGACTTGGGCTGAACTATCCTCTGGCTCCCTTTCCCTCTCTCTCGTTAAGGTGAAACTGGGAGCAGAGGAGCTGGAGCCTGAGCGAGCAGCTTTTGTCTCAGGGCTCCTTCCTGTGGGCACCGCCATGCCCCTACTCACCTGTCTCCTGTAAGCAAAGCCTTTCTGGTTCCTCAGCACCAGGTGGAGGGGCCACCAGAGTGAGCCCGCTGTGACAGGCTGCTCGCCTCCTCCATGGAAACTTGCAGTGGCAAAGCTGACTGCTTGCTGAGCGCCTGAGCACAGTGCCTTGCAAACACGGTACAGCTTATTCCTAACGCAGCCTGTGTGTGCTCCTTTCCAGATGAGAAAACTCAGACAGGGAAAGTGACTAGCCCAAGGGCACACAGTGAGCTGGGTTCAAGTCCATCTCAGCTGGACTCCAGAGCTGCTCTTCGTCAGACTTCTGTGCTGGCCCTTTCAGAAACTCTGAACAGGATGTACCGCGGCAGGAAGACAAGCTGAGACCTGTGACCGAGCTAAAAAAGAGAAGAAAAGAAAAGAAAATGAAACATAGTCAGATAGGGGAAACAGACGGTAGTTGCCTGTCAGCTGAGCATGAGTTGCCAGTGCAAGGCTACCTAGGAAGCCAGTGTAAATTGGGCTCTATTAATAAAGGTAGAGCACCCACTTGAAGGGAGGGAGTGATCGTGTTGCTCTCAGTGTGAGCAGATGGTTCCTGAGAATGTGTGTGTGTGTGTGTGTGTGTGTGTGTGTATGTGTGTGTGTGGTGGGGAAGGGTGGAGAGCCTGCTTCAAGGACAGACACACGGGACAACCTGGAGTCCCCGGGGCTGGAAGCATTTAAGGAGAGGCTGCATGGCACAAGGTTCTTGGGTCAGGTGGCGGGGACCTGGACAGAGAGACCTGTAAGATCCCAGTAGCTGGCACACCGCTGGCTCACTACCCACCAGGCGCTTCAGTGGACGACCTCATCTGGCTGCCCGTGGTCCTAAGAGGCAGATGTGATTATCGTCCTCGCCATGTGGATGGGACTCGGTGGCCGTGGGGACTGGTGTCAGGGCCCTGTGACTCTGGGGCAGGTGCTCTCAGGGCTGCCCATGCCTATGCTGATGGTTCCAAGGGCAGGGAGCTCCTCAAGGCCCAGGTGCTGCCACTGAGCCCAGGACGCCAGAACCTGGCCTTCTAACAGGGCCTCTGGCCTGCCTCTTGCCGATAGTCCACTGTGGGCACCAGCAGCCCTTCCAGGGCCCAGGCCTGATTCTGAGTCTCTTCACAGGGGTCTCCTACGGCAGCTACTAGAATTAGCCCCATTTTTCAGATGGGGAAACAGAGGCACAGAGAAGTCAAGTAACTTGCCCACGGTTGCACAGGCAGGAAGAGAAAGGACGAGGCTGACGGGCTGGCGTTGTCTCTGTGAAGGCCCCTTTCAGCAGGGCTTCCCACCTCCGAAAGGCCCTGGCTGTGTGAGGGGCTGATGGCGCTGTGTTCCGTCCCCAGGTCATGAGTGTCCTGCTGTTCACTGAGCATGTGGTGGAGGTGGCCCATGGCAAGGCGCCCTGCAGGCTCTCCAGGACGCTCTACCTCCGGATCGGTGGGTCTGGGGCAGCCACGGGCGGGCGGGAAGCTGGGCCCCGGGCCCTTTGAGCCTCTGTGCTTCCCTGCAAATGGTGCCGTCCCTCTCGTCCCTGGCATTGCTGGTGGTGAGAGCAGAGGGTGGTGCTCAGCACAGCTGCCAGCCTACAGAGGTGCCGCCACACTGCCTAGCACACGGGAGTGGGATGGAAGCTCCCGCTCGGCCCTGTGGCCTCCCCGAGCATGGCATCTGTCTGGCACCTCACGCCAGCCCTGCTGTCACACCCCCACCACTCACAGGCCACTCCTCCAGGCCACCGACCCCGACCTCCCTGGCCTCCCACCCATGCCTCTGTTACACCGCCCGGGGCCTGAGGTGCTCTGCTGTCCTTGTCCCCTCAAGGCTGGGGACTGCACAGGGGCAGGCTGGATTTTCCTGTTCACGCTGATGTCCGCATGTGAGCAATTCCCAAAGTGTGGTCCTCGGAGCCTTGTGGGTTCCATAGCAGCCCAGACCCTTCAACCCTCCCTTCCCTTTCAGCGGACCTGGTCTCCAGCTTCCTGCTCATCAGCATGCTGTTCATCATCAGTGTGAGCCTGCTGGTCGGTGTAATCAAGGTAGGAAGGAGCCCAGGGGCCCCAGGGGCCCTCCTGCCTCTCCTGTTCCCCCAGCAGGGGGTTGGGCCTTTGGGGAGCCCGTCTGGGCTCTAGAGATCCTCACAGCCCCCTTTGGGAGGTGGACTGGTGGGCTGTGCTGGTCAGTGCACTGGGGAACCAGCTGGTGCCCACATCCTGTCACACTGCCAGCACAGGGAGGGATTTTGAAAGAGAAAAGTGAAGGGCGGCCTTGAGGCCGGGGAGAGGGGACGTCAGTGCTGGCTTTGTCACCAGGCATAGGAGCCAAAGCGTCGGAGTGCAGGTGCATCCAGCATGGTTCCCAGCAGTCAGCTGGCCCTGGGGTCAGGGTGGGACCAGTGATCTGGAGATCCCAAGCTCCTGGTCCCACTGAGGAAGACGGGTCCCCAGAGAGACAGGGGATCCAGTGTGACAGCCTCAGGTCCTGGCCCACAGCAAGGTCGGGGTGGGGGAACGGAGGCAGGCAAAAGAGGAGCCCTCTTCCCTCGGCTCCAGGGAGGCAGGAGGCCAGGCTCACCACACTGCCACCAGAAAGAGTGTCGTTCTTCCTGGGATGATAGGTGGCCAGGCACTGGTGGGGTGGCAGAGTGGGTGATGGTTTGGTGTTGGTCTGGAATACCTCCACCTTGCCTGAAAGCTGTGATTCAGGCCTCAAGAGCCCAGTCTCTCTTGGAACCCAGGCTCCACCCACATTAACTTCAAGTTCTCATTGCACAGGATGGCTGCAGAGGCTCCTGCACAAAATTGAAGGGTCCTGCTAAGAAAGTGGAGCAGGTTGTCCCCAAAGATTCAGATTCAGTTGGGCTGTTCCTGTCACCTCCTGAGTGGTTTTAGACACCCCTATGATACATTAGGAAACCATCTTTTCTGTCAGGTCCTTCTCATAGAGCCCCCATAGAAGGGGCAGTCCCTGAGGTTCCCTGAGACACAGAGACCCCTCTCCTGTCCAGGGGTGTCACTCAGAGGGGCGTGTGGACTGAGGTGTGTGCTGAAGGGCTCAGCAGCCAGGGAGGGAAGGAGCACATGGGGCTGTGGGGGCCGAAGTGACAGTGTGGGGCCTGCCTTCCAGAACCGGGAGAAGCTCCTGCTACCCTTCCTGTCCCTGCAAATCATGGACTTCCTGCTATGCCTGCTCACCCTGCTGGGCTCCTACATCGAGCTGCCCGCCTACCTGAAGTTTGCCTCCCGGACGCGGCCTGTGAGTACCAGACAGCTGAGCTGTGGGGATCCCAGGCCCAGTCCTGGCTGGAGTCCCGGTGCGAGATCTCCCAGGTCTGCCCTGGAGGCTGTATCTGTGTGCACATCCCATGGGCCTGTCCTGGGAACGCTCCGAGGGGAATGAATGTGGATCCTCGGGACCTTGAAAGTGCCCCTAACTGCAGGCCACGTGGCTCTGTGTGAGTGGTCCCGAGGCAGGGATGCGTCCCTATGCTGCCCCTGCCCCAAACGCAAGACAGACAGCAGAAGACAGCCAGGACCACTGATGCCCAGCACCCACGGTGGGGGTGACAGTCAATGCCACAGTCCCTCCAGAGTTGCTTTTACAAGTCCCTGACTATTGTCCTTGAAGAGACCAAGGTGCTATACACGGGAGAGCCCTGGCCCAGACATCACGAGACCCTGGTTCCAGTCCTGGGTCTACTCCATGACTGGCTGTGAACATCAGGGCGGTCCTTTCTGTCAGTGCACAGTGACTAGAGAGTTGCCAATGTCCCTCAGGAAGCCCCAGATGTGCCCACAGTGGCTGGGCCTCCTTTGCTGGTCTTCACTCTTCTCCTTGTCCTCCCCAGGGCCCCTCCAAGGTCCCCGTGATGACCCTGCAGCTGCTGGACTTCTTCCTCAGCATCCTGACCCTCTGCAGCTCCTACATGGAAGTTCCCACCTATCTCAACTTCAAGTCCATGAACCACATGGTAAGTCTGGGCAGAGACTGGCTGGATGGCCTTGGGCAAGTTACCTCACCTCTGCCCTGTGTCTCAGGCTGGGCTTCCTGGAGGAAGTCTCATGTGAATGATTTATTGAGGGAGCACTCTCAGGAAGAAACTTGTAAGGACTGAAGGAAGCAGTTTCCAAAAAGGGAGGAAGCCCAGCAAGGAGCAGGTGGCTTTGGAAGCAGCCCTGCCTGATCCCAGGGGGCCCTGGACTGGGAACCACATATGGAAATAATGCTAGTTTTTTTTATTGCTGTCTGAAAAAGTACTCTTACACATCAAGGGTTAGAGCAACAAACACGTGTTATTCCCTGTGGTTTCTGAGGATCAGGATTGGGAGTGGCTGGCCTGGTGGTCCTAACTCAGTGTCCCTTGAGGCTGCAGCCAACATGGCGGCCACGCTTGGCTGAATCTGAGGGATCCGCACCCCAGAGGGTTCCTTGTGGGGCTGCTGGTGCTGGCCCCTGTTCCCTGCCATGCAGCCCTTTAGTATCGCTGCTGAGTGCCCTCATAATGTGGCTGCTGACCCCCACCTCGGCTCAGATCGTCCAAGAGGGAGAAATGGAGGAGCAGACAGCAACGTCCTTTATTTACACCCTTGTCCTGGATGCCACACTCTCACTTCTGCCACATTCTGTTGGTTAGAAATGAGTCACTAAGCCTAGCCACACTCAAAGGTGGAGGAAACAAGTTCCGTGTTTAGGAGGAAGGAGTGTCCCAGAATGCATGGACATATTTGCCAAGCATCCCAGAGATTTTTTCCTCAAGGCCTCGGCCTGGGCATGACAGTACTAGGTGGCTCCCATGGGCTTCGGCTCTCCTTTAGTAAGGGCACGGGGTGGCCATGGGCAGCCAATACCCCCTGCTGGGTGGTGTCCAGCTGAGGACGGGGACCTGGGAGGCCGCAGCCACACCTGCCTCCTGGGGTACCTGTGGCCGGTGACCTGGGTTATGGCTGTGTCACCCTGTACTCCTGTGGTGTGGAGTGTGGGTTCCTTGTCCCACATGGCTGGGTGCTGCTGGAGGTCTTTAGGGTCACGGGTGATGTGGCCCTGCATTTGTTGCAGAATTACCTCCCGAGCCAGGAGGGCATGGCCCACAGCCAGTTCGTCAAGATGATGCTCATCTTCTCCATTGCCTTTATCAGCGTCCTCATCCTGAAGGTGAGTGGCCCCTACCCACCACTGCAGTCCCCAGGCACACTGTGCCCGACTGTCAGGGAGCAGGCTCGTGTGTCCCTGCTGTCTCCTGCCCTGCTGTAGGCTCTTTTCTAGCCCTTCTCATGCCAGCTCCTCCACTTGGGTCCTTGTGGACACCCATGAACTGGACATAGGTGTGTTCAGGCATCAGGGGCTCAGTGTGGCCCTCAGAGAGGCCTTGGCCTGGCTTCCCTGTCTGGGCTCAGCTTTGGGCTGAGCTGAGTGTGGGCCTGGCCCACCCTGGCTGGCTGTGGGGTCGGTCGGTCTCCACTGACCACTTCTCTCTGGGCCCCAGGTCATCTAGCAGGGTGCCCTGAGTCTCAATTGGCCCACAGGAGTTTTATGGGACTCAGGAGCCATGGTGAGACAGACTTGAGGTCGCAGGAACAGAAGTTTGATGATGAGAAAGAGGGGGTGTGGTGTAAGGCGCAGAGCACAGAGCCTCGTCTGGAGTCCAGTTTGAGAGGTGGGGGCACAGCGGAGTATTTGGAGCAGTGTGAGCAGCCAAGGGACACTGCAGACAAATGCAGGAGGTCAGCAAAGCCAGGGCTCTCCGGCTGGGAAAAGAGGTGACACAGGGGGACGTGATAGCCATGTCTAAAGACCCAGGGAGCGCAGGGAATTCTGGGATGCTGGAGGCCACTAGCACTGAACGTGCTGCTGTTGTTTGCTTTGTAAAACAATACACCTGAGGCAATTTTGAAGAGGACCTTGTCCACTATCCACTCTGTCTCAAGATGGGCAGTGTCCTCTGGAGCAGTGAGCTGCCTGTCACCTGGGGTGGTCAAGCAGGATCTGCAGGACTCTCCGGGAGGCTGAGGGTGGGCCAGTGCCCTGAAGGGCCAGTCCCTTGCTATGTGGTAGCTGTGGGCCTTGGGGAGGACAGGGCTAGGGTGTGCTGGGGTCTGAGAAGAGGAGTCGGAAGAGCAGCAGCTGGGTGCTGCCTTGTGTGGAGAGCACTGGACCCTCAGGAGGAGCCGGCATCTGTCCAGGCCTCTGGGGAGAGAGCAGGACAGCTGACCCCGCCCTTCTACAGGTCTACATGTTCAAGTGCGTGTGGAGGTGCTACCAATTCATGAAGTACATGAACTTGGCCTCAGAGAGGAGCGACTCCAAGATTCCCCCCAAGGTGAGCCTGGCTGCTGTCCAATCCCAGCTTTCTTGCTCTCGTCCTGTGCCATCTGGGGCCGGTTCCTTTCCCTCTCTGGGCCTGGGTTCCTCTACTTTTAAGATGAATCAGGAGAAATGTGATCCTCTTTAGCTCTGATAATAGAATACTTCATTTATTCATTTAGCATTTACTATCTCTTGCTCTTTTTTGGTTTTGTATCCAATCCTGGGTGCAGGGAGAACCAAGACACTCCCTCTGCCCTAGAGGAGTGCAGAGTCCAGGCGAACCCAGGTGCAGACGCCATTACAGCTTGGTGTGAAGCAGAGAAGGAGGTGGCATCTGGGGCATCAGGGAAGGCTTCCTGGAGGAGGCAATTCTGGCCTGGTCTTGCATGGTCCATGGGTGCAGTCAGCTGGGAAAGGGCAGGGGGCTTCCCAGCCTGAAGATAGGGATGGTTTAACAGTAGCTGAGGGTTGGATTACTCAAGATATTTCTGGGTGCAAGTGGCAAAGACCTAACTCTAGCCAGCACGTACAGAAGGGAATTTACTTGCTTATAGCACTTGAGAGTCCAGGGTAGGTCTGGCTCAGGCCTGGTTGAGTCCTGCTGTCAGGATATAATTTCATCTTCTCCATCTCCTGGCTCCCTTTCTCATGATTGGTCCCATCCTTGGGTAGCCTTCTCCTTCATGGGGCAAAATGGCTGCCAAACCCCTGGGGCTGACATCCTACTCTCTCATCTACTCCACCAGAAAGCGGAGTGAGTACGTGCGAGTGGTCCATCTGGGGTCTTGTGTCTTTCCCCAAACCCAAACTCTAGCCAATGGGACGAAATTCTCCTTTGAACAACCAAGCTCATGTCTACCCTCTGGAGCTGTGAGGTGGGACCAGTAGATATAATTTTTGTTGCCGTTGTTGCAGTACTGGGGATTGAACTCAGGACCTTCACCCTGACCTACATACCCAGCTTTTAAAATTTTTTTCTTTTAGATTTTGAGACAAATTCTCTCTAAGTTGCTAAATTGCCCAGGCTGGGCTCAAACTTGTAATCCTCCTGCCTCAGAGTGCCAGCCTTACAGGCATGCGGCACCATGCCTGTTGGGACCAGTTCTTTGGCAAGCACACGGACTGGGATGGTTTCCTTGAGGAAAGCAGGGCATTGTTATCGAAACACGGGGAACCTGACACTAAGCAGGCAAAGGCAGCTGTTCCCAGCGGCACAGAACCACTGTCACTGTGTTTCCATAGGTTGGGGTTCTGGCCTCTCCATTCTGTGTCGGGACTTTCCGTGTGGATCCTTCTTGGTAATTCTTAGCCCTCCTGTCTCTCTCCCAGGTGGTCCTGCCATCCTATGAAGAAGCCATCTCTCTGCCCACCAAGTCTCCTGAGGGGGGCCCCGCGCCACCCCCATACTCAGAAGTGTGACCCTTGCCAGTCCCCAGCCCTGGTGCTGGGAGGGGCGGAGCTGCCTTGGAATCTGCTTCTTCGCTTTGGGGGCTCCCGTGGCTGGGGTGGCCCACCCGGCTGACTTCAGGACAGTCTGCTTGTGCCCCCTCCCTGCTTGCTCCTTGCTCGGGGCTATGGGATGTTCATGATTGGAACAACCCTCGAGTTGAAGGTTTCCTTGAGTCTCTCAGATTCAGCTCAACTCGCTTACTTCCATTGACAGCTCTTCCTTAGATGACCGATCATTCTAAATTGATGAGTTCTGGTTCAACAACCATTAACCTGATCGGTTTCACAGAGCAACTGACAAATCAAAAAGGCAGTCAGTAAAATACTTTGGCCAAACAACAGTCCTTTGGATTAATTTGTGAATAGTTGTCAGATCACAAGGGGGTGGTTCAGTGAAGTCGTCCTCAAGTAGTCGCCCCCACACCCCCAAGTATAAACTCACCATCAACTTCTTCCAATCGCTTGCTTAAACAATTAGCAATTCAGCCAACCATCTGTTACTGAGAATAGCGATAAATAGAATAGTGATAAAATTCAATAAAAAATTGAAATATCCACCAAACCATTGAAGTCAAACTAACCCAGCACCTGGCCACCAGCTCTGGTCCCTGTCTGCCTCCAAATGGCTGGAGAATTGTTAATTCAAACAGTTGCTGGCTGTCAGCTGGCTGCAGGAAAGAACAGTTGTCTTCATCATAAAACAGTCACTTCAAACACACAATTGTTTCGCTAAAGAGCTGGCACCATCCATGGTCAAATGTTGTCCTGGCTGTTCCTTGGTCTGGGCTCACTGTGGTAACACTGGTGGATTCTGTGCCAAGGTGACCTTGCCTGGAAGAACCAGGTGTCAGTCTGTCCCCCAGCCGGGCTGCTCAGCGTGGAGGCCAGGCACAATCCAGCTTGAATCAGGCAGAGCCATTTGCTGGAGTGGACTCACACCCATCAGGCACAAAAAGGCCGGCAGAGCCTCTGTGGGTTCACTGTGCCATGGCTCGTGGAGGGGTGGGGGATGCAGGGGGAGGTGCTGTCCACACACCTCCCTGGGTGGGGATGGGGCCTCAGGACAGGTTCTTGGGTCCATCAGGGTGCAGGGGGAGGGCCACTTGGGCTTGAGGGGCTCCCGCCACACCTCATGTTGTTGCTTTTTGTTTGACTGGGAAGGGTTTCAATAAAGCAGCAAGAAGCTTTGTTTTGGCTGATGTGGGTCTGATAGACAAGTGTAGGAGGGCCAGAGGCTGCCTCCAGCCTGCCACACAGGCACATACACACACACACACACACACACACACACACACACACACACACACACACATGCATTTGTTCAGGCCAGAAACCCTAGCCCGGTTCCTGCCCATCCAGGAAGCATCCTGACCCGACACTGCTTCTGCCCCATGGGCACTGAGGGTCTCTCAAGGCAGGTGCCAACTCCATGCACCTGGTTAGAGCCTCCCCATGCCCCAGAGCCAGGGCCTACTCCACCCTCGGGGCTGACTTGCAGCCAGCGAGCCCTAGGCTGGAGTGCAAGGCAGATCTGTGAATGACTGTGACAGTCAGTGGGCAATACCTCCACAGGGAAAGTGGGTGACAGGCATAGCAGGGGCCAGACGGGGCTTCTTGGATGGGGGTCCTCAGGCTGTCTGGGGGGTGTGGGCCTCGACTCCCACCCTCACTGTGGGGTTGCTGAGCTGCTGAGGGCCTGCCCAAGAGCCCAGGGTGGTCTGAGTTGGGGGTCTATCACCAACACCATAAGACCCCCGAGAGAGCTTTGAATCCCACACCAAGGAATAAGGAGTCTTTGAAGGACTGTGACAAGGCTAGTGAAGTCATCCTGCAGGGTAGCAGAGGGGTCAGGTGCTAGAGGTGTTGCTGTCCTTTTGGTACTGTTACCTTTTCTTGGGGATGGTAGATTTCCCCGTAGATTTTATCTGCTCTAGTTCAGGTCCCCAGACAATGGAGAAGGATGAGTCTAACAGAGATGGAAACCGAGCTCCTGCTCATACACCAGGGAACAGAGGCCCAGAGATATCAAGTGATTTTCCTGAGGCTACACAGTAGCCAGGCTTAGACTCAGCTTCTCTTTTGTTGGGAGGGCTGGGGTCCCAACCATAAAACTTGTAAAGGTCTATAGGAAGAGGGAGCAAGGTCCACGGCTGTGTGTCCTGAGGACCAGGCGACCCTGAGCTGGCCGATGTACTGTCCTGTCCTTCCCCAGACAGTTGCCCCACCAGTCTGAGCTGTGTGGCAGGATTGTGCCCAGTGGCCAGGCAGCTGGGATGTGGTGGTCGAGGGATAGGAAATAGCTAGGTTTGGGGAAGTACGTGTGGCCGGCCAAGCCCAGTGCAGCGATTGCCAGGCATCCTGGCAGGCTGGTCACGGCTGTCTTGAGGTGCACACAGGGACCATTGACAGGAGCCCCAGGAGAGGCCCAGTGGAGCTAGATGCTCAGAAGTTGCCGGGCTTCAGAGCGGGTTTGTGGAATAGGCGGTGCCCAGAGGGAAGGGAACTGTGAAATGAGCGCAGGCTGCTGAGGATGAGAACTGAGGGCTGTGACAGGAAGAGATGGCCCTGGTGAGCCACTGGCCCTTCAGAGTGTCACCTCCCCAAGTCTCCAGTGGCTTCATATGGCAAGTGTTGTGCTATGGCCGGTCCTGAGGCCTGGGGAAGGGAAGGTGGTTGCCCAAAGTCACACTCCCACACTCTGAGGCCTGTCTCTGGCTCTCAGGGGCAACAGGGAGCCTCTGGATGTGACAGGACACTGGAACTGGCCAGGGAGCTCCAGGACCCTGACCAGAAGGGGCCCCAAAAGCTGCAGGTCCCTTGATTCTGGATGCAGGCTCCTGGCTGGCTCGCATCACCAACACCTGTGGGGGGACCCCCTCGTTCCAGCTGGGCTTTCACACTGCACTGGCTGCTGTCAGCAGTGAGGACTTCCGCCTCCTCCCCACGAGCCAGAGCAGAGATGACTGAGGCTCTGCCTGTCCTCGCTCTCACAGGCACAGCGAGAGAGACAAGAGCAATCACAGCATCCATGAGGGTGCTGGGACGGGAGGGAGCTGGGTGAAGGCAGGCTTCCTGGTGACTCCTGAGTGGGAACAGGGCTTAGTTAGCCAGGTAGAGGGAGAGGACACCCTCTGCATAGGAATGGGGGCTTGGAGTGGACAGAATGGGGCTCCATGGTTTAAAGAGGGACCCTGGAGTCCTGGGTCCAAACTCCACCCAACAATAGGCCATGCTCTGAGCCTCAGTTTGGTCATCTATAAAATGCGGTAACAAGGACCTCCACAAGATTCTTGAGAAGCAAATGAGTTAAACACAGACACTTAGAATGGAAGGTATGTTCAGTCGGGAGTGTGACACAGCAGAAACCCACACCTCCGTGGCTTGGACAATTTGGGGTATATTTTTCATATATTGTAAGAAATCTAGATATAGGCAGTTACTGGTGTAATTTCATCAGCTTAAGAATGTTAGGGCTGGATCTCTTAATTGCTCCCCATCTTTCCCTCATGCTCTTAAGATAGCTGCTGCTACTCCTGCCAACACATCAGTTCTCAAGGCAGGAAGACAAAAGCCTTCCCAGAAACTACCCTTTCACTCCTTAGCCCCTTTCTTTACCTCTCATCTGTCAGGGTTGGACACAGTGGCCAGCAGCACTAGCTGCAAGAGAGTTTGGGAAACAGGAGTATTTTGCAAGGGAATTCAGAACAACCCACCCAGCAATGGCTTCTACAAACCTTGAATAGCGCTTGCTAAATGCTCAGGTAAAGGCATCTGGTGTTAAATCCAGGGACCTGGAGCTGAGGGTGCATTTAGGGAAGAGAGCAGCAGAGAGCTGGGTGCAGATCCTGCAGGGTCTTGGCCACCAGCCTTAGGGGTGTGGACATGGCCCCGCAAGCTCTGAGGCCTGGGGGGGATGGTGGGCAGAAGGGCAGCATGATTTCAGACCTCAGTATGCTCCCAGAAGGTAATCAGAGGTTGGGCTTCGCCACTGTGTGGGGGCTGGAGGAAGCGACTGCTCATGGGGCCCTGTACACCTCCTGCTGGAGGATGGCGTCCACTGTGGCCCAGGCAGAGGCTGAAGGGCAATGGTCCTGGTGAACCACCCTGGGGTATGAAGTCGGCAGTGGCCATGGCCAGGCATCTGGACACAGAAATGAGAAGGAAGCCATGGTGGAGGTGGGTGCCCAGGCGGAAGAGCATTTGGGAGCTGAGCACACAAGATGGGTGGAAGACAAGGTATGGGAGTTTGTGGTGCTGGGTTTGCGCTATCTCGGGGGATACATGATCAGAGGGCTCTGAGTTCAGCAGAATGAGGGGGCAGGAGGTGGATGTGTGGGTGGGATGTGGGGTCACCCAGGATCACAGAATTGTGAACCCACTGACAGGACGCGATGCTGACCTGTGCTGGTTTAGCTTTGGGCTTCGGCTTGCCCGGCCACGTATAGGACCTGAGACCCACATAGCACTGCAAGGTGCCTCGAGCTACCTATGTGCGACACTTCACACCCCAGAGGCTGTGGTCCACACGGTGGGTGGACGGATGCTGAGGTGGTGTATGGGAGTCCACTCTGCGGTGGGGAGTGTTGCGCTGTGATTGGGGTGAGTTGACTTCCGGGGAAACCAGGCTCAAGTCCAGCAATGTCTCTAAATTGCAGTGGAATCATTTTAAGTGTCAAGAAAAACCAACTAAAGGAAGTGGGTTGACCTTCCCTCTGGCTGACCTGGGCTCCTTGGGGACAGCAGAGCCTTGGCTGAGGATGGAAGAAGCGGTCCCTGTGGGTGTCTGTGGCCACAGGCTCCTGTCCACCGCTGGTTGGCTGGGCTCCCTGGGTCTAGTGCTCACATTCCAGACTCTCTCTTAGGACCCAGGAGGGAGCCACCCTAATTAGCCACCAAGAGAGACCTGCCTGGGTTCACAGTGTCAGCTGGGGAGCCACAGCTGGAAAAAGAGCCAGATTGCTGTCACCCCAGTGAAGCAGATGACCAGAAGGTATTTGCTGCAGCTTCCTCTTCCTGTGTGCTGGGGTGGGGGTGGGATGCTCCAGGCAGGGACACAGCCTGACCTGTGTCCCAGGGGACGTGGTCTCACCTGTAGTAACTTGTGACCTGGACACCACGGCTGTGTTCAGCCTGGACCTGGACAGGACCACATCCTTGCAACCTTATCTGTGGGTGCAGCCGAGTTGCTTTGACCTTATAGCATTTCTCAGTGATAAGAGTGTGTGCCTAGCAGGCATCGGGGTTCAATCCCTGGAAACAACAAGAAAAAAATCCACAGTGGCCTGCAGTCCCCAAGCCCACAGAGGCTTCTTCTGCATTGCTGAGATGGCATCACGGAG